TTAGACATGGAGTTATCTCTAAGATTAATTTCCAAGTGACGCTTTCAGTAACCATGCTAGTGGTTTGGATAAACAACATTGGCAAAAGTAAATTTTCTGCCTGGAGAAAAATATCCAGCTGTATTTCAGGAGGAATAAAGGTCATGTCACAGTGACCGAAAATCTTTGTGACTATTAAGACTAAACTGGACAAAGAGCTAAATACAGGCCACAGTTTGAACGGCAGATAACGTTTATGTGTTTGACACCAACATATAAAGTCTTGAGAGACAAGATTTGCGGGAGAAAAACCAGTGAGAAAAAAATTTAAACTCCTAGCCAACAAAGATCATCATCAACAATAATAATTAGGAAAACAAATGAACAAAACCCCAAAAGGTATTCTCAAACTGTATTGCTTTGCCAGTTAGGAGTTGAAGGCATATGTTTTGAATTTTCCATCATTTCACTTGTAGAAAGATTTGGAAGCAGGACTATTTTATTGAAATATAATGCTGGATTGAGAAAAGTCCATTTCGAAAGGGAATAGTTAGCTGGAAGGAAGGGCTTCATCCGGTCGGTGTCTGGGTAGCCAGATCTGGAGTGTGAGTAGCTGATTTCCTGACTGTAACCAGAGGATTCTGGGTGACTCAATAACTCGGCCAGGTCACCGGGGTGCAGATGGCATGGGCCAGCAGAGCAAGAACTCATGACTCCTAGAGTTCTGAGTTCCGTGCTTCGTAGGAGGCCTAAAGTAACCCCAAAGCAAACGTGGTCCAGATCCCAGAGCATTTGCTGATGGGTGGGGACATGAAATACTGCAAATGCGTCCTTGACAGTAAGTTTTCCTTCTCTGCGTCATGAAAAGCTGATTGAAGCCAACCGCCGTAAAATGCTCTCAGCCCAGTGCATCTAGCTGGCCAGGGGCCTGGCCGAGGAAGTTACCTCCGCCCCCGGGATTGTGACAGTCACATCCTGACTCTACTCCAGGTCCGGCAAGAGCACACAGGACTGTGGGAAGTATGTCACTCTGGCAGAGTCTGTGCTCTTGAGTCAGCATCTTACAATAGCAGGACACCGATGAATATTTAATAAATGAGAGAACAGAGTGACAGAAGAGGATCTCTGCCCTCCAGGTCACAGGCCAAGCTCTAGACTAGCAGAACTGCCTGCAGTTCCCTGGAACGGCCCCACTGTTCCTGTGCACCTTGACCCCTTTCGTCTGTGGGAAATACCCTTCCTTTCCTACCCCTGGCAAATGACTACTCCAGGGTAACCTCATCCGTGATGCCTTCCTGGCTGGCTCCACCCTGCAGGCTAAGTCGCTTCTCTCTTCCATGCCCCACCATATCACAGCCCTTTTACTGCAGCCCCAGGACTTAAGCATCTTGCTCGCCAGTCTGTGAGCTTCCTGCGAGCTCAGTGACATTTATAGGGTTTCAGTTTCCTAGGCACTGAGCATCTAGCCTGTTGGTGCATGTGATGTATTACATGAAATAGATAATAGACTATGTTAGAGGACAGTATACCCATGGGGTAGGCATATTCCTATCCCCTTTTTACAGATGAGGTTCACCAAGATTGAATAATCTGCTACAGGTCACCCTGCTAGTAAGTGGTCTGTTCAATGCCTGTGGGAGGCAGAAGAATGGCCCCCAAAGAGGCCCATGTTCTAATCCTAATGTGAATATGTCACCATACATGGCAAAAGGGACTTTGAAGATGTGACGAAGTTAAGGAACTTGAGATGAGGAGGTTATCCTGGATGATCTGGTCCAGTATAATCACAAGGGTCCTTATAAGAGGGAGGGAGGAGCGTCAGAGCCAGAGAAGGAAATGTGACTAAAGAAGGAGAGGTTGGGCAGAGGCAGAGATTTGAAGATGCTATGCTGCTGGCCTTGAACATGGAGGACGTGGCCATGAGCCAAGAGATGCAGGCAGACCCTGAAAACTGGAAAAGGAAGGAAATGGATTCCCTCCCTAGAGTCTCTAGAAGGAACACTGTCCTGCCAACATCTTGATTTTAGGACTTGTGACCCCAGAACTATAAGACGATAAATTTGTATTGCCCTAAGCCACTAAGTGTGTGGCAATTGGTTACAGCATCCACAGGAAACTCATACAGCACCCTTGAACTAGACAGCAAGGCAGCCACACCGATATGGAAGAAAAAGCATTTGCAAAGGGGGTGAAGACTCTTCTAAGAAGCCCCCAGGTACAGAGGGTCAGAGCGGGTCCTGAACCACGTGTTCTCTGCTTGCCTGAGGAACTTTGTGTGGTGATTTGAAGTACTAAGAAGGGGTTGGCCAAGGCAAACTGAACCCCAGGAAGTCACAAGCCTGAGGTGGCTCCTGAAACCTGGTTCCCATGCTTGTCGTTTCCAGGAACTCTGAGCATCCCTGATGCCAGAGATGTCTAGCAGATGTGCAAGGACGCCTTCCACAAACCCACCACTGCCCAGACAAAGGCCTCCTCAGCCCCCAGGGTGAGGGTGTGAAGAGGAGAGGCAAGTGGGACCCCCAGGGAAGCAGCCCCACCTCAGGAGACGGGGCAGGACCCCGGCAGCCAGGCCTCAGCCCCATCCTCAGACACAAGGATGTTGAGAGTTCAAAGCGGGTGACGTCCTATTGCTCTTGCTTTTGAAAAGCTCAGTCCATGAGTCAGGTCGTCAGTCTGTCTGCCTGTCTGGCCTTCTCTCTGGTCAGGCAGCTTGAGAAGGACTAACGCGATGAGATAATAAATACCAGTCTTGGTCACCATGAACCAAAGGCACGCAGCCAGCTGAGTCACACAGTGGCGGTGGCTCAGAGAGAGCCGTGGAGCTCCATCTGACCTCACTTTGGAAACGGGGCCAGACGTTCTAACACAGCAGGGCACCGAGGAGCTCATTTCACTCGCAAAGCTCCAGGCGCTCTGTGTGCTCTGGCCGCGGAATGTTCCTTGGGAGGGAGCCTTGTGCCGTCTTGTAACTCAAGGAGGGGAGATTACAGAGCCCGGAGAAAGGCTGGGGACGGATGGCCACTAGGGATGCCTCAGGCCATGAAGATTTGGTCTGTAGCAGTAGCCACTGTCCCAAAGTGACCTCACTTGGCTGAAAGGCGTCTGAGGTCATTAAACCAGTCAGAGTGCATCCGGCCATTTGACACACGCATAGTGAGTGCCCACTTTGTGCTTGTCATTGCAAGCCATTCACCTTGAGACCACAAGACCCCACCCTTGCCTGGGGGCCCTCCAGCCCCAGCAGGCAAGGAGGTTAAGGCTCAGGGCTGGTCAGATGAAGCACAAGGGCCCCAGGCACCACAGGCCTCTTCCTTCTGCCAGCTCAGGTGCATCAAGGAAGTCTGAGGAGCGCTGGAAGACGTCCTCAGAGGGTGAGGAAAATGGAGGCTGCCTTAGCCCCTTATTGCTGCAGCCAGGCTGCTCTTCCTTTTCCCTCGGAAAGTTCCATGTGCAGAGGGGCATCTTTGGTGGGCAGGAGTAGTGGGCTCCACGACAGGACACGGCCCCTAGAAACATCTGTCCTTGTTTGCCAGGTTTGGGTCGTTGCTTTCACATGACATTGCAAACCCAAGCTTTGATGTTTAGTCATCATTTTTTGCTTTAGTTTACTTCCCTCATCTCTCCCAAAACCAAAACCTCACCACAAAGTCTGACAAAGGAACATATGGAACCTCCCTTCCCCCTAGAGACATGCCTGGGCTTGCCTGGCTCTCTGCCTGGCTGACTATAGTGGCCTTCCCACAGCTGGGGTCTCCGGCCAGAACTGAGGTCAGCCCTGCAGCCGGCAGGAGGAGGGAGGAGAATGACAAGGCGGGCTGGGGCCGTGCCCTTGGGAAGTACTCTCCGCAGGGCTCACTGTGGGAACCCGAGGAGTTGGGGACAGGCAGCAGATCCTGGGGTGATGAGCCCACAGGGCTCTGGGCTGCCCTCCGGGGCCCTGGACCTCTGGCCCCAGAAGACCGGGCAACAGAGGAGAGACACAACATGCGCCCGGTTCCTCCCCCTTTCGCGTCTGAGCATCTGTTTAATTTTAGAGCGTCTGTGGAACTTTGGTTCAAGACCTGGCTCTTCGGGTGACTGCATAGCGTGGGGGTTACGCATGCGCCTTGGCTCGCAAGGGCCTGGGTTCAAATCCCAGCCTCACGACCTTGGGAAACTGACTTCCAGCCTCCGAGTTTGACCTTTGCCTTTTGTAAAACTGTAGTCATTGTCCCTACCTCAGCGGTCGTTGGAGGGTTAGAAGGGACAAAACACACCAAGCAGCCAGCCCAGCATCCCACACAGGAAGCGGGGCACGGGCAGCCGCTTCCTGGCCACCCTCACTCACATCCAGGCACTTTCTCTGGAACACACGAGTCCGTCACTTTGCCTTCGCAACCAAAATGGCACTCACGGCCCTCAAACACTGACTCCACTCTCCTCCTCCCAGCTCTGGTGGCCAGGCCTCTCAGCTGGTTGTCCCTTTCCTGTGCTTTCCTGTCCGAATGCTGGCTCACTGCTCCCTGTATCAGGAGTCACCTCTCCTTGTCCTTCCCGGTCACAGAGGACTCATGCATCAAGGCTGCTCGGGGCCTTCCCGCTGCAGGGGCCCTGCCAGCTGCAGGGACTTCCCCTCCAGCGGCCTCAGCTCTTGGTTGGGCTCCTCGTTTGAGCACGAAGAAGTCCTTACACTGTCAGAGTGGCAGTGGGAAATTCTGTCCATCTGTCTGCCTAACTACCTGTTAAACTGAAGGCAGGGGTCATGGCTGATTCATCCCTGTCACCCCATGGGGCACACAGGCAGCGCTCACACATCTCTCGCTGGACCACACTGAACTCCTCAGCGTGAGCTCCGGGCAGCGTGAGCTCCGGGCAGCGCCCATTCCTGCAGTCCCAGTGGGCACGGCCCCAGCCCTACCAGGGAGCCAGTCACCCGGCTGAACAGAAGGCAGCTGTTCAGAAAGCACCATCCAGGAGTGATGCTGACGGAGAGGGAGTGCCCAGCCCCACTGCTCTGCACCTCGCTGGCGGCAGCCACCTACCTGGTCCCCAGAGCGTGACACATTGCTGCTCGTGGGTCTGACAGATGCCGTTGTAGCAGTAGCCGTCCACCCCCTGACACGGGTGCCCGTCATGCAGGTACACGTTGGCTGGGCAGTGGGGGCTGGCCCCTGTGCAGAACTCCGGAAGGTCGCAGGAGTTGCTGGAGTCCCTGCATGCTGTTCCTGCAGGCTTCAGCTGAAAGGAGAGGGCGTTTATAGCATGTGTGCCGAGGGAGGGGGGGAAGCAGGTTCCCGGCAGCACTCCTCGGGTGGACCGGAGCAAGGCCATCCTCAGAGGGCCTCACGTAGAGGGGCGAGGATTGCAGAGGAAGCCCTCTTACAGCAGACAGAGCTCACTAAATAAACAAAGTCTCGCTTGGGGTTCCCCTTTCCGCTATGCGGGGGCAACCAAGAGCAGCCTCTTTTTAATTTCATGCAACATTAGGGTTTTTTGATGAGCAGATAAGCTGGTTGCTGGCACCTGTCACCTCAGAAAAGGAGGCAGGTACATTGCTGCTGGGCTCATTGGTTCTTAAGATCTTTGGTCGCCAACACCATCGTGGGTTTTGAGATGATGTGTGCACTTACAGCTCTAGCATTTGTGAGCAAGTTGACAAAAATAATACCAAAGCCACAATCACAACAGCAATTTTACTTTGTCATCAAATCATAGAAGTGGAAACCTGTCTGTAGGAGTTCATAGGGAGAGAGAGAGAAGCAAAGCAAGCGAGCAGTAAAGGATGTTAGGAACCATCCGACCAATGCCTCATCTTTTTGCAGCTGAAGAAGTTTAAGGTTCGGAGTGGCTTGTCTGAAGCTACACAGCCAGTGACCACCCCCCACCCAGCCTCACTCCAGGCACCTTCCACCTCCCGCTGCTGGGTACCCACATGGGGCCAGCTTCTTTTAACGTTCCCCATAAGTTAGTCACGAGTAGGAAGGGGATGAAGAATATTGTGAGGCTGAATGTGACATGTAATGCACTTCTAAATCACCATGCTCTCGTGGGGCAGCTAAGAGGGAGTTCCTGCTAGCAGAATGCCAAGATCAATCGCTTACTTAAAAAGAAATAAAACTCTACCCTTGCAACCCTGGAATCAAAAGCTCAGGCTTCCACTCCGTCAGATCTCAGCTCTGAATAAGGAGGCAAACAATAGAATTGCCAAAACAAATGCAGTCGAGGCAGCAGAAATGGCAAAAGCATAAAACGGCCACTCTTGGCTGGGGTGGGTGGGCCAGCACCTCCTGTTAGGAGGACATCAAGGTCAAGATGTTTACACAAACCCCTGGAGCAACCTGTATGGCTTCTCAGCCCAGGAGGCAGATGGTCTTAGGATCAAGCCAAGGGACCCAGCGTGAAGCTGAGTGATGGGAGTGGGGACCTGCCCTTGAAGCCTTCTTGTTATGGTAACAGGACTGCACATCCAACAGCACAACTGGGACATTTAACATCCAGCTTGAGTTTTTTGGTCTGATTACTTTTCACCCCATAAATAAATTATCACAGATGACTTAGCAGTTAAAATATGCATTTCACATGAAGATTGGAAGATAATAAAAACAGATGGTGGATAATACCAGCTTTCGTGATAAGGAGTTACAGTTTCCACAGCAGTGAGTGTTGGGAAATCATCCTGACATATTGCTTGCCCCGCGTTGGTGTTGACCCTCTTGAGCCCGTGGGTGGCCTTGGGACCAGGTGAACTCACCTGGCAGTCTTTACAGCACAGCCCATGTGCGCACACAGCGTCCGGCTTCAGGGTACAGGTGGTGGCATTGCAGCAGAGATTCGTACATTCCTGGAGAGGGGAATTTGTTTGACAGGGTCATATGGTGCAACTGCTCACTGGAGGCAAACGTTGCACCTTAAGTGACTGCCAAAGGGAAGAAAGAACCAGAAGGCCTGGCTCTTGAGCTGAAAACCAGCCTGACCGAGGATTATCTTCATCTGTAAGAAAGCAAAGCTTCTGTTAAGTGTTTATGAACTGACTGGGTCTGCGAAGCCCTGGGAAAAGTCAGCAGCACTCGAGTGCCTTTCATGAAGCCTTTCAGGAAGGGGTGAGGGACCTGGCCAGGCGGGCTGGCTAGCATGTTCATTCAAGTCAGCAGGATGTTGGGGCTCCGTAAGGGGGTCTCCAAGGACTGCAAGTCTTACTGCAATGAATTGGATCAGGATCACTGGGGTATTTTGAACTTACTTATTTAAAAATATACATAGCAGCGTACTAACTTTACCCTTCAAAGACTGGCCCTTTTGATCTAGAGTGCTGGCAGGTGATGATGTCAAGTTAATTGTGTTTGAACTACATTTCCCTGAAATTCAACCAAATGCTGTAGGTGAGACCCTTACTCAGCACACGTGGGCTGTCTGACCTGACTAGGCCTCCTGGAATGACCAAGAGCCCAGAAGGAAGTCTACGGGCCGTGCCTACTGGTTTGCAAGGGACTTAAACAGACAGATGGAATATTAGAGGTACTGTCCTCTCTGAAACAAAGGTGAGAAAGGAAGTTCACTCCTTTATTATCCTGTGCTTTCAAGTACCCTATTTTTCCCAACAAAAAGAAATAAGAGATTGACGCCTTTTGCTTAGCTCTCAACAAAAGGCCTATACACATTTATCTAGTATATTTATGAAGTCCTTATACTTTAGAACATTCCAGTAACTTGGAGCTTACATATTTTGGAAGAAATTGAATCGTTAGAAGAAGGACGAGTTCATAGAGTCTTTAGTACTAATTAATTTATCAAAGTCCTTTTATTTTATCCAATATATCATATGTGCTGAAGAATTTATACACTATTGGCTAGCCTGAAGCCAATCATGTCCTAGCTTAATTCTATAATAATTTATTCCTGAAAACCATCTTTTGTGAATGAATTTGTCATTAGTATCATACATGTAATTAATAAAATGGTGTCAATAATCTGGAAGATTTATGGCTAACCCAGATATCTGAGCTGCATCCTGTGTAAAACTCTGTGAATTGTGCTCTCATTTGGTGCTTACCATTTTCTCCTATTATACATATAGCCAAAGTGATTAAATTTTACATTTGTTCAAGGACTTTATAAACATCCGGAGTGTATAATATATACAATAAGATAAAACTGCCAGCCAGAAGTCATAGCTGTAACTTTCATGACAGTAAGAGTTTTTAACTCATGGGCTTACAATCCTAGAAAGTTTAGGAATTTGCTTTGTGTTTTGAAAAGCAGTCCCTCAATTGCATTCCCGATCAGCGTCATCAAATGTACAGCAATGTCGTCCTGTTCTCTATGGTCTAAGTGGCTCTACTTATAACCCATTAACCAAATTACAGATTTCCTTGAACTTCTAAGGAAAATCAGCCATCCTAAAACTGGGTCCCAAGATCCTTTAAGAACTACCTCCCCACCCCCCACCAAATCACTAAATAATATCAGCAGCAGCTCAAATGGAAACGCAGCCAAGTAGAATGGCTTTGACTTCAAAGGGGATTGATAATGTGAGAAACATAACTAAGTTTAAAAGATATTTGCAAGCTACTGGCATCTTATTGACTTTAAACATGGAGATAAGGCTGCTTTCCCAAGCCTGTTAGCTGGAAGAATGAGTGAGTTGTCAGGATAGCCTTACGGTTGATGTAAATCCAATGCCCTGTACGGGAAGCTGTCAGCAGTCACTTGCCTTTTTAACTATCCAGAATCTATTTCTCCTGCAGCACTGTATTTATCAGAAGAGACAAATTCTTCATCTGTTGATATATTTGTTTTAGTACTCAATAGAGAAGTTCAACAGAGCCGATGAACACTAAGTCTCCAAAGAAGAAAGAATAATGAAGCCATTAGAGAATTCCCTGCAAATGCCCTAATTGTCATACTCGTGTTGTAGGTCGTAGACACAGATTCTTAATCACAAGGAACTAAGATAAGACTGTCATGCAACTTCTTGAAAATAAGGGGGATTATTTCTGGGAGCAGGGGAACAGAAGCTGGTTCTGGTTGTGAGCTGGGGAAGCTGTTCTGACCTCATTCACTTACTGATGTGGTGACGTGCTGAGTCCCTATATGGGCCGGGGATGCACGGGCCAATATGAATCCAAGGCACGGTGAACATTTCCAGAGCTGAACACTAGGTAGGGGAAAAAGAGCCCAGGGTGACAGATCTGACTAAAGGTTTTGGTCAAAGCAGTTTAGAAACTGGAAACGGGCTGTCACACTGCTAGACACAGTTTCAGCTTGAAACTTGAAAAGCAAAACATGAAAAACAAAAAAAAGTGAGGTAAAAGGCTTGCCTGTAACTTCAAAAGATTTATTGGAAGAAAGAACTTTGGATGAGGAGAATGAGAGTTCCCTTCAAATATCAAGAACTTATCCTGTGAAATAAGGAACCAAACCACAGAAGTATAAAGTTGAGAATTATATGCAAGTAGAATTTGGCTCTACCTAAGGAAGGAGTTACATTTAATCAAAACATCCCTGCAATGCAGTGTGCCGGCTGGAGAGAGAGTATGCACCTTGCCGAAGCTGAATGACTCCAGGATGCAGATAAAAGAGAGAATTACAACATCAGTGGCTGGCACATTTCAGGCACTCAAGCATTTGCTGACATGATGGTGGCAGTGGTAACATTGGTGGTGGGGATGGTGGGGATGGTATGATGGTTGTGGGGGTGATGACGATGGTGGTGACGGTGATGCAGGCACGGTAGTGGTGGTTATGATGATGATAATGATGGTGGTGCTGATGGTGATGGTGGTGGTAGCGGTGGAGATGATGGTAGTGGTGATAAGGGTGGGGGGGTAGTGGTGATGGTGATGGAGGTGGAGATGGTAACAGTCGTAATGTTAACAGTGAGGGTGAGGGTGGCAGTGACGCTGGTGGGGTGGTGCTGGTATATAAAATAAAAGACTGCTAATAGAGTCATTCCAAACCTGAGAGTTCATGGCTCCATGAAGAGCTGTCAAATTTATTTAGATTAATTAACAATTACAAGGAGTTCAAATAAAAGACAAACTATTTTGAGTCAACATGGCCTCTCCTGAGAAATATGGGTAAACTAATTGATTTCTTGAAGTAATTAACAAAGTCATCAAGGAATTTCCCTTCTGCATACCCCATCCCATGACAGTTTCAAGTGTTCCTCCACTCGTCTTAAAGAGTTTCTGTAACGTCATAATTAGGACCTTCTCCTGCACAGCATCCACTCCCTGCACATTGTGAGCAAAATTAAACACTGCTATGGCCGGCACCACTATCACTGATGGATCCTGAGTTTGGGAAAGGCACAAAAACATTCGATAAAACCACCTCTACAACTCCTATCCCCCAGTACGTATTCACGCCCAACATTTCTGCAGAAATGGTCAGACCGAGACCAAGATCCTTCCTGCTGGTATGGGAAACCTCAGCGACTTGGAGATTGGGACACAATGCAGATTCTGTAGCCAGTTGTTTGTCTGATGAACCTGAGTTTGAGGGATGTCCCAGAGTCTCGGCACAATTTTCCTTCCACCCCAGAATCCCCCTTTCAGAGCAGCCCTCCCAGACACGCTCATCCTAAGCCCGCATTAAGCCTGTCTGTGAATTTAGCTAAACCCGCCTTGAACCTGTCTCCCATTGCAGCTTGCCTAAGTTCTCGGGGAGGGAATCCCACACGGAGAGTGCCTGCCACACAAACTACTTGCTTTGATTTATTCTAAACACAGCCTCCTCCAAGCTTCCAGGGGCCACTTGTTCCACCAGAAAGTCTCCCTGTGTCCTGTCTTTTTCTATCCTTCTCAAGATTATTCAGAGATTTAAAAAAGTGGCTGTTATAATTTTTATGTTGATTAACCATATCTTGGACCCTACAGAAAATTTCCTGACATTGGCTAGGAAACAGGGTTAAATAAGCCTTTTCTGGATAAAAATGGTCCCTGCTTTCACTCATTGCTTCTGAAAGCTAACGAGCAGAGAGGCAGAGCTGTGAGCCGCAGGTCGTGCATACAGAGGAGGCTGGGGCAGCAACAGCGGAATTTCAACTGGGAAGAAGCTGGGTTAAAAACGAACGATGCTTATTCAAATTCCCCTCTGCCTGCCTGCCTTACAAAGAGAAAGAAATGGTGCTTATTAGCCATTTTAAGCTAGCATTCCAAGGCCTTTTTCCCCGTCAAACTCAAAGCTAAATGCCTTTTCATTGTTCTTGTCTGCATCTTGCCGAGAATACCACGTCCTTCAATAGAGAACATGCTTTATCTCTTTAAACCAGATACAACTTATTCCGTGCAATGGTTAAAATTCAAGAAGGCCACCCTGGCCTGTGAGGCATGTTCAAGATGGCCATGTAGGACTTTTCCATCCTGAATTTCTGGCACTTTCATTCTGCTACACAATTCCTCCAAATTCTCACTTCTTTGCCCAGCCATGAACGTGAGGCGAATGTTCTGGAAACGGCTCTCTTACCTCCGGTTCCCCGCAGTCACACTCCTCGCCTTCTTCCACGTATCCATTCCCACACTTCTGGCCCCCGAAAGACTGCTTGACTTCTGGCAAGTTAAAGAGGCACATCCCCATGCCTTTCTCCAGGCTGGCCTCCAGGTCCTTCCTGCTGCAGCTGCTGAACACCATGGGGAACGGGTACCTGTGGAGAAGAGCCCCGACAGTCAGGGTTGGGGCGGGCAATGGTCAGCACTTCATGCTACCCGCTGCCAACAGCTGCCCAGCTGTCCACTGTTAGTCTCAGTGGACAAAAGCTTAACTATTCAGTGGAAAATGAGGCACATTCAGCTACCTGCTGAAATCCATTCCTGTACGGTGCCAGCACCACCAATGAGAAGTGCTTTATCAAAAAGGAAATGATCTTTTGATGGCTTTCAAATCAGCAAGTTTAGACAGAGTCACATTACAGACATTATTAATAGTTCTGTGTGAAATGATACAATGGAAATGAATTCTTAGGCTCTGCAGCTTGTAATATGAACACATACTGATGTCCTTATTGGAAAGCACGAAGAAGAAAGAAGTACAAATGACAGTGCTTATCAATTCCATGGGTCCATGGACGCAACCCCCACTGTGGGCCAGGTCCGGCCGATGCTGGCATTTGGATCTATGAAGGGCAAATCGCTGTCTTACCCAAGCACAGCTATTAGAGAATGGAGGTGGCCAGAAATGCAGGTCCGATTCTCGCCTTGAAATACCAGGGCTACAAAGGGATGTGGCAGAGTTGGCCAACTTCCCCACAAAGTTCACGCTCCTCCTTCCTTGGTCTCAAGGGGCTGCTCATTCCCCTTGCACTGGGTGGGCTCTGTGACTAATTCTTGGCAACAGAACACGAGCAGAAGTGAAGTGATGTGGGTCACTTCCTGTTTAAGGTGGTTAAGTGACTGTTCCTCTTTATGTCCTTTCTTTCCCCTTCTGTCAACCGAGCTCCAACAGGTATTCTAATGTCCTAGGCGACGGAGGAGCCAGACACAGCACCTGGTCCTGACTCACTGTAGGGAGGGAAGCCACCTGCAGATGGAGCCCCAGGGTGTCATATGGAAAGAAACATACCTCTATTAAGGTAAGCTACGGAAAATTGGGGCTTTGTTTCCTACATCAGCTGATGTTACCCAACATATATAGGGTGTCTCACTCTTTTTTACCAATGCATTTTCCCATGTCTTGAGGTAGCAAGAATTATAAGGGACAAGCATGCAGGAAACACAGAAAGTTTTATGACTTAGTGAGGAAGCAGGACCTGCTGAAGCCAGCCCAAGCACCTTCTCGGCACATAGCCATTTACAGGATGACATTATAATCAGATCCTAATCAACTGGTCAAACCAATGCAGGCTGCTACGTTTCCCTGAAGATGGCAGACTAGCTACCATTTGATGATAAAGTTTGGCAATATTTCAAGACTGTGATGATTTTCATGGCCAAACTGGTAACACTGTCTTATCCTCCCCAAGTGTTTTCTATCAATCTCAGGTTATTAACTCTGGAGTGTAATTCTAATCTACAACTAAATTAATAAATGCAAGTCCTGCTCTTGGATGCAAAGGCAGGACTTATTTGTAGCGCTGCAACAAAGTCCCTTTTGAAGTCTTTATAGCTTTCCTGGGCAGACAGATTGATTATTCCTGGTATGAAAATGATGCTTTATAGCTTCAAATGATGATCCACAAGAAAAATTATAATTTTATCAATTTAGAAGGGCTTTGTATTGAAAGACGACGGTACATTACACAGGGAATTGAGAGCGGTTCTTCTCTTTGCAAAGAAACAACTTCATCCAGGCATAGATCAGACCTTCTTCGCTGTGCGGGCGTTTTCCTAGGACACATGCGTGTATCTCAGGGCCCGATCCGGGAGACTAAACCTCATTCTCACTCAATGATAGGCAACTGGTGTTGTGATGAACTCTTACCAGTTTGTTCTGGAAAGGAATTAATTTCCAGAATTTGTTAACAGTTAATTAGGAAAGACACCAGGATAAATTGTAAGCCTCGGGAAGGGTTTATAGCAACAACAACAGTAGTTGAGAGAAGCCTGATGAAAGCATGGTATGAATCACCCCGCTTCACAAGTGAGCAGAGAATGTCCACCAGTGTCCAGGGACCAGATGGCCGAGACCAGCTCCGGTCACGGCTCCGACAGGCCCTCCAGCTCGCGGTCTTTCAAAATAACAAATACAGTTTGGGCTTTTGGAGGGGTTGACATTAAAGAAAAGGGATAGAACCAAGATGAAGGAGATCAGTTTAAGTCCAGGATTTAAACTCTGGAATGTTTGGGAGAGGAGAAGAGATCAAGTCATTGTTGGCAAAACCACAGTTGTGTGTCTGTGTGAGCTATTGTCAGATAGAAGGTAGTCATCTGTGTAACAATAAATTTCTATTTCTCTTAACTTTTTCCTATTCTGTTGAAGGACAAACCCCAAATGCTTTTAAAATTTTCTTTCATTTAATGCATGCATAATATTCATCTTTAATTCACAGGTTTTTAACCTTGCTGCAAGGAACTATGTCCAGGCATTAATTCCTTGAGGTGTCTCCATTTTAACAACAAAGCAGCAATGTTCTCCTCAGAAGCCAAATGCGGCCTTGATGAATTTGCTGACACTGAAACAGGTCCTTTCTCAGGGTTGCTCACAGACAGCACAGATCCGGGGCTCACGCCACACGGCCTGACTTCACCAGCGCACCGCTTGTCTTCAAAGTCAGTGCAGTAAAACCTCCAGCAACTGCTGGCCGCGGCTCACAGCTTCTGCCACGAGCACATGTGGGTGGATCCTCTTTCCCTCCAATCTGGGGTCTTTCTGACTTGCTCAGTGAGGCCCCTTGGGAAGGCCAGTGCCCCTTTGCCGAACATTCCTGCCTTCTCCGTGGACTGGGTCAGTCAGCATTCCTATCTCTACGTGAGGATGGAAAAACACCTCTGCCATCATCCGAGAACTCTCCTTTGAGGACAAATGGCGATGAGGCCAAGGAGCATTTTGTATCTGTAGAGAAACTTTGCTGGTTCCATCCTTTCATGATTTCTCACCAGAGAGGACACTCTGATTGGACTATTTCAGTCTGATAGACTATTCCCGAACCCTATTTGGGCATTTAGAGGAAGTCAGGTACTAGAGGAAGAAAAGCAGAGCAACCTGTCACTCATCATTCAATTATTCTGCAAATATTTATTCAACAGCTACTATGTGCCAGGCATTGTCCTAGGCTCTGGGGATATGGGAATGAGCAAAACAAACAAAGATCCTGGTTGCCGAGGAGCTTGCATTCCAGGGGGCAGACTGATCATACGTAAGATGAAGGAGTCAATTACGTGTGTTAGAAAGGGATGAATGTTAAGGAAAAATGAAACAGGTAAGAGGGAGAGGCTGTAAATGGGAGGGACTGAAGTTTTAGGGAGGGTGGTCAGGGAAGCCCTCACTGGGTGGGTGGTGGCGTTTGGGGCTCTCACCAGGATGTGAGGGAACAGGCTGTGGGCACAGCTAGAGGGAGAGCGTTCCAGGCAGAGGGATGAGCCGGAGCAAAGGTGCATGGACAGGCGTGACTGGCCTAGAAAAACGGGTTCAACAGGACAGAAGCAGACTCTACCTTCAGTACCACATACCCAGAGAAGCGCCGCCTTCTCCCGAGAAGCCCCTCAGCCACTGGAGGTCATACTGATGGCAAGAAGACTACCATGGAGTATCATTAAACGGAGGGGCTTTGCCCCGTGTGGATCAGGCACTAACAAGGGCTGAAGGCATTTTTCATAAGAATTTCAGACTCTTATTATTTTCCCCTTTGTTAGCAAACCAGTTTTGATTGACAAGCAAAGGTCTGCTCATCGTCTCCCTTCTTCTTCTGAGATCCTCTCAGTTGACTGGTGTGTAAGAATAGATATCTAAAAATTATTTCTAACCCAATGGCCCTCCCACAATAAATGGAATTTAGTGATCCAAAATAACCTCAAATCTCAAGAGATAAGGAAATTTGACGGTATCAAATGTTAGATTCTTCTAATTACAATACAACCCTAATCTACACATATTTGGATGTCGTTTACATCCCAAATAGCCACTGACTGCACGGTGCCTAGGGCACAATAGATGCCACTGACTACTGGCTGGAGGAGCCAAAGAACAGTTCACTGGTTTGCATGAAAAATGTGCCAATGGCCCACAAACAAGGCATGGAATCCGCTCCCCAGCACGCTGTCAGGAATCCACGGACAGGATCTATCTGCACAACCATTATGAAGATTGCCATTTCTCCAGTTCAGCCACACGTGAAAGAATGACACCAGGATGGTGCTTGGCACGGGCACGCTCATTACCCTGCTTCCCAGGTGCCAACTCCGCCTCTGAGCCGTTGATGACAGCGGGATTAAACCTTGGGTGGCGCGTTCTCTACGTCTTCATTTAGCCCGTCAGCCACTCATTCGCTTGAGAAGCGTCTTCAAGTGTCTGTCACAGTCAAAGCTCTGAGGACGATCCCAAGAAGATTCAAATATGGCCTGAGCCCTTCCCACCGGCCCCTTGCTGGGCCTTCGCCAAGGCAACTACTGAACACACCCACTCCCGACACCGCCTCCCCACCCACACAAATAAAACAGATATATTTACATATATGTAAAATAAATATATCGTGCATATTTATCCATATGATAGAAATTATATAAAACTTTAATGCATATAATTATATTTAATTGATATATACTTATATATAATTTTGAATAACTATTTATTGAGAACCTGGTAATATGAAGGGCACTTTCTCATAGTACTATTTTTTCCCTTTTTATACTTTTTTTTAAAATTTAAATTTTCCAAACAGTCCAGTGAGACAGGTATTATTACTCCCATCTTGCAAATGAGGTGAAGGGACTTGTTTAAAAGTTCACAGTTAGGGAATGGCAGACACTAGATCTGATTCCAAGTTCAGTTATTTAAAGATGCCATTTTTTTCATTGCTGTTTCCAGTTCAGCACTGAGTAAACTGCTGAGGCCTGGACACTGACCCACAAACCCTTGATGCACTGATTTAAATACAAAGGATGAATCCGTCCACGGTCCGTCAAATGACTGGACCAGAGGTCCTCACAGTATGGTCCCAGCATCAGTATCACCTGGCAGGTTGCTAGAAATGCAAATGCTCATGCCTCACCG